TGATTATTAAACAAATCAAATAAATAAAACAAAAAAAAATAAAATACTACAAATAAACCAAAGGAATAAGACTTATCAAATAGATTTAACAATAATTATCTAAAAAACACACATTGACTCTCATAATTTATCTACAAAAAATAAATATAACTAAATTAACAAATAAATAATCAAAAAATATTTAATTTTAACAATATGAATCATTGAAGCAATTTAACTCATTGTTTCAACTTTCTATTAAATGATGCTACATTTTTATCGCGTAACAAAACTATAGTGCCAACGTTAATATTAGGACCCTTGGCAGTGGACCACTTCACCCGTTCCTGTAATCGAGCTAAATATTCGTGTCTCCATCTTTTCCACAACATTTGGGAAAAATGTCGCCATCGATCTAACCGATTGGTTTGAACACCGGTTTCGTCCTCTTCTGACACAGACATAAGCTACTCTCCAATTAAAAAATGTGATGGTGTAAGGAATAGAGGATCCAATGAATCCGGGGAAAGAGTAGTCAATGGTCGAGAATTTAAGCAAGCTTTTGTCCTTATTAAAATAGTATTTAATTCCTTGTATGTTAAAAATGCCTCCCCTATAAATCTTAAACAATAAACCATAATAAGTAAATCTTTATTTAAAGATGAAAATTTGTCTAACAAATTAGCTTTTTCTATTACATTAATAATAAATTTAGTTGTACTTTTTCTTTCCAACATATTGCTTGAAATTTCTAATACTCCATTATTTTGACTTGGTCATTCCGTTTTATCCTTACTCAATCAAGACGGTCCTTGCCACCATAACTACATCTCATTTATCAACTTCGCTTCACATCCTCTAGAAAGCAAGTCGGCTGGATTATCCTGAGATCGTACATGAGCCCATTCTGATGGACAAGATAAATTCTGAATTTCACCAACTCAGTGAGCAACGAATGTCTTCCAATTTGTGGATAGAAGATACCCACGCCAAAACTATATTTGAGTTCGTCCAAAGGTACTTTTTTATAATATTTAATTTTAACTTTTCCATTACGTTATAAGATAACCGTGCGAGTAATAACGCTGCGCATAGTTCTAATCTGGGTATAGAAATTACTTTAAATGGAGCTACCTTTGATTTCCCACAAATAAACTATGTTTACCATCTATATCGGTGCATTGTAAGTATATATATCCACCATATGCCTTTTCTGATGCTTCCGAAAAACCGTGTATTTCTATTGACGAAATATCTTTTTCACACGTTATTTTTCGCAACATTTTTAAATTATTCAAAGTTAACAAGCTCTCGCGATAATTTAACCAGTTTTCACTTATATTATCAGTTAATACTTCATCCCACGCTAATTTTATGTTCCATAAACTTTGAATGAAGAGTTTGGCTCTTATTATTACAAGTCCTAAAAGACCAACGGATAATAAATACTGGCTATCTCAGATAATATTTTCCTTTAAGTTAAATCACTTTCCGGGTAAATGTTTACATTTATTTTAAATATAAANTAAGTTAAATCATTTTCCGGGTAAATGTTTACATTTATTTTAAATATAAACATATCATTAGCGGGGTCCCACGTTAGACCAAGTGTTTTTGTTATCGTTGATTCAAATGCACGTTCGTTATTTTTATTTTAAACCGTGTCGTTTACAACTGTATTTTTATTAGATAACCACTTATACAGCGACATACTGGCTCGTTGAAATATACAGATAAGATAATCGCGTAACTGAACAGCTGATTCGATAGTATCTGTGCCTCCTAAATAGTCGTCCATGAAAAACTTATTTTTTATTTCAGAACAAGCTGATGGATAATAATTTTCTTCCTGACTTGCTAAAGTACGTAAACAAGCAGTTGCTAAAAACGACGAAGGACTCATACTATATGTGACTGTTGTTAATTTATAAGTTCCTATGGGCATTGTTGGATTTTCTCTCCATAATATTCTTTGGTAATCACAATGTTCAGGAACTAAATTAATTTGTCGATACATTTTTTTTATATCTACAGTTAAAGCAACTCTATGTATTCTAAAACGTATATTAAAATAAAAATCATATCGTCTTGTAAGACAGGACCTTTTAATAGTACGTAATTCAGTGACTTACCAGATGACATTTTACACGACGCATCGAATACCACACGAAGTCGTGTTGTTGTGCTATATAATTATATACAGCGTGGTGCGGCAAGTAACATATATGGTCCCCAACTATGGGTTTCTTTTCAATAATTTTCTGCATATGACCCAATATTTCGTATTCTTTCATAAATTTACTATATTCCTCTTTTAACTTTTCGTTTTTTTGCAACTTTCTTTCCATATTTAAAAATCTCTTTTTTGCTATCTCGTATGATTCGCCTAATTTATAATTTTCCCCTTCTTTAAAAGGTAAATAAACCATAAATCTACCGACATCGTCTCGCTTAACCGTATTTTCGAAAAACTCTTTACATTTTTTATCTCCTAACGTTAGATGCGCGGCTGTTCCAACTTCTTCCAAACACCAAAATTTAGATAACATATTTTCTAATCGATTTGCGTGATCAATCACTGCCGAATAACTAATAGAATGATACGCTTGACTACAGCCCGGATTTACTACTCCTGCAATTACCCAACCTAACTGCGTTTGTTGAAATATTGGTCCCTCCTCGGACGGTTTAATTTTACCCGCGCATAAAACATCAAAAAAGTGACCTGCTCCGAGTAATAAGTCAATTTTTTGCGGTACTGTGAAAGACGGATCCGCTAATTGAATACCTTCCGGAATAAAACATTTACTTTTTTATATTATTCGACGTAATAAATCCTGTTATCTTAGGAACAACCAAACATTGTACTTCTATTTTGAATTAACTAATGCTCGATGTAATTACTACTGTAACCGCTGAAGTAATATTTTTTTTAGTACCTCCTATGCCAATGACATTGTGGTGTACTCACGATTTACGCAACCTTAATAATTGTACCATATATTCACTTATAAAGTTAAACTGTGAACCAGAATCCAGCAAAATTCTACATCTTTCTTTTCTACCTTTAACATTACCTGCATAAACTTCTACTGTTGACAACAACACTTGTTCGTGTTATTGAGCAGCTGCTATAGCGCTCGTTGATACGTTATCTGAGACTACTGAATAATCGTTTGGAGTATTATTATCTACTTTTATTTCTTGATTTAGAGTTGTATTTAAATGCAACAATATGACACAGTATAAAGGTGTTATAAATAAAATAAATTATGTAACACCGTTAACTGGTCGATTAACTTTTATTTTAATTTATATATAATATTACAAAACTGGTGGCAGAGGTGCGAAATACAAAAAATCGACAATGCGCTGATGAAAAGATCACACGGCACATACGGCGGATGTAAGTCACAGGTGAACTAGTTTACATAGTCGCCGACGTGTCTCGCGGTGCTAAACCCCCTGACCTGTCCTATCTACCGACCGCCGGATAAGACAAACTTGTGTTATCGTCAACACTAATGAGTGCGACGGTGGACAGCTGATAATCACGACCGGATAACGTGCTGATTCACGGTAAATGAATAGTGCGCTATTACGGGCCGTGTCAAATACATTGTGTGGTTTTGAACACTTTAAACAATAACGCTTCTACCGCTTCTAATACTTTTACACTATTTTCCAAAAATGCAATAAATTCGGATACACGTGCTATTTTATCTTGGGGTGATTCTGCTTCCCATCTACTTAGCGTATTTCTATCAAGCTTAGTACAAATTAAATGCATTAACATCGGCTCCCATTCTTCAGGTTTTTCTTCCAACAATTTTAATGCACTAATACGACAGACTAAAGAATTCAAAAATTCTCTTATTTTACCCGCAGACTCTTGATGCACCATTCCTAGCTCAAAAATAGCTTTCACGTGGGTTTGAATTATTAACTTATTATTGTCATATCTCTCTTTTAACATTATCCACGCGATTTCATAATTATTCGCTGTTGTTTCTAAACTTTTAATAATATTTGCATCCTCTCCTGATAAAGATGAGCGCAAATAGCAAAATTTCTGAATATCCGATAGATCCGCATTAACATGTTTAAGTTTAGAAAATAAATCATAAAAAGGTATCCATTGACTGTATTCGACAGTAAATACTGGAATACTTATAGGAGCTAATTTAACGTGAGAAATACATTTATTTGTTTGACCACAAGAACTTTGCTGACAACTATATTGATTTTCTTTGATATCTCTATTTTCGACCTTTGACAAACTTACTCTACCGATTAATTTATTTGATTTGGCTAATGTTTTAAAAAATAATTCTTCACATTCCTCTCTATATATATATCTTGTTTCTCCATGTTTACCTCTTCTTCGAGCTCTATAGCTCCTTGAATAACTTCGAACTCTGACCAGACAGCCTCTATTTTTTCTATCCGAAATGGTATTTGCTCTATTGAGACCTTTCCGCTACTCAAATATTTTTCGAATTTTACTAAAGATGTTTTTAATTGTCCTCTGCGCTGCGCAAGAGTAATGCTCGTTTCCCTCATGTCGAAGGTAAGTGAGAACGCGCTGTGAAGTTTAATACTATTAACAGCTGATATTCAGCAATGTAACTTCTACTCTGTTATTATAATTAACTACAGTATCCTATCCCCACATACGAGGTGTTATAATAACCTTTTAAACGCACCTATAAATATATATACTTTCCGCGTAAAGTATACGCGCCGATTTATTACTATTCTCACCTAATAAACATAACTATTAACCGGGTAAAAATCAATATAAAAAAATGACCTTACAATACTATTTAAAAACTTACAATATATTCTTTTATTTCTTTTAGGAAATTTTGGAATAAATTTATTAATAAAAATAATATATTTAAATTTTTCTACCTTGCGACTGGCTTTTTGAATTTTATCCATTTTCTTGAAAGGGTAAACTTTTGGTAATCCAAATGGCACGTTGCACTATTTTACGTATTTATTATTTTTGCACTTAAAATTAAAATTTTTCGTTAATTATTAACCAAAAATCCGTGTCCGAAGGACCATGTTGTGGACTGTAGGTCATTTTTCTAGTTGAACAGATTTTTGGGGTTTTATTATTTTTAAATTTTAAGTAACACTATAAAAGTTAACAGATCAATTTTTATTCGTTTAAATTACAACTCTATGCTAAGCAGGCACGTCGCCGACAGACTTAATTAAAAGTGGTGGTCAACGACCGTCCACGTATATGTTGATAACTACAGTCGGACCTAACACCCAGACTTAAAAATCCTATAAAAATTGCACATTGTAAGTGCGTTTTGAATAGGTAAAAATTTATTATTATTATTATTAAAATTCCTATTATTAATGTTCATTAAAAAATATGATTTTAAATTTTTCTAACCAACATGTTATAATGGTGTAAATGATATAGGATTAAAATAGTTTCTCCTTAAATATTGATATTTTTGTTAGCAATACTGATATCTCAATATTAAACCGAGCTCTATAAATAATATTTGAAAAGCTATAAACAAAATATAATACTGTTTAATATCGATATTGTGTCAATATTTGCCATCCCTATATGTAGTGAAGATAGGTGTTTACTGATAAACATTATACCTGTTCTTTAGACTGAAAGTCATGTATTTTATCTTTTAATATCTTCATTTCAGACATTTTACTTGCAGTTTCAAGCTTAACAAATAAATAAATACTATTAAGAAATACAGCTACATGATTTTTAATTATACTTATATATAAGGTTTAATTTTAAAAAATTTACCTGTAAGCTAATATTTTCTTCATTGAGTTTTACATTTTTTGAATCTAAGCTTTTTATTATATTTTGATAAATGTCTTCTTTTTCATCCAATTCGGATGCATTTGTTGAAAGCACATTTTTAAGATAGTTGTTCAAATCATTTAATTTAGTGATCTAAAGTTAATGTAAAATAATTAGTGCAAGAAGATACAAATAACAATTTTCTGTATACCTCAATATTTTTATCTTCTATTGTTAATATATAATATGTTGAACATATTAGTAAAAAAATATTTATATATAAATTATACTATAAATATACATAATATATAAATTGTAATACAATGCATTTAAGAATAATTAAAAAAATATTAATATTCAATTATTGTAAAACATATTATTTATTTTTAAAAAATACTAACTTCTAGTTGCTTCTTTTGTTGGCTAGATTGGTTTTCCTGTATTGTATTGGTAAGTGTTTCAATGTAATTTTGATTAAATATTTCATTTTTAACTAATCTATCTATTCTATTTTCTAAAATTTTTTGGTCTTCTCTCAAAGTTTTAATTTGATTTTCTTTAAATTTAGTATCTATTTCCATTTCTTTTATTACAGCATCTTTTTTTTCTAGCTCCTTATTAATATGGGTTAAGCTTAATTTCAAGTCATCCTGAAAATATAATAAGAATAAATATAATTTTTATTATTAAAAAAAATTTAATTCATATATTTATTGTTGTGTACATATTAGTGTATTATATCATCTAATATCTTTAATTGAGACATTTTACTAGCAGTTTCAAGCTTAACAAAAAATAAATACTATTAAGAAATACAGCTACATGATTTTTAATTACACCTTTAATATAAGGTTTAATTTTAAATAATTTACCAGTAAGTTATATTTTCTTTTTGTAACATAGGGTAGTGTAGTTATTAGCTGAGGAAGTATTGAAATATGTCGATTTTAGTATAATATAAGCTTTACAATAGTAGTAAGCAATTTTGGAACTCTTAAGCAATATAATAATTCCATATAAATGGGAAATGCAGGGTATGCAAATTAATAATGGTGGAAAAACGATTATAAAAGGGAAACATGAAAAGTATAGGGGGACGGGGGCTGGACGAGACTGGACGTTTTGTCGAAGAAACGTCGAGTTACATGTCAAGAAGTTGGACGCGAGTGTCTTTGTACGATTTAATTTTGTTTTGTGTTACATTTTGATATTACCTTTTTGACTTTATGTTTAATACGTTTTTTAAATAAAATAGCTATATAAAAACCTGGACTTAGCGCAAATATTTTATATTCGCCGTGCTCTTAGAATTGTGTGTGTGTGTGTGTGCGGCTAGAGTCAAGGTTAGACTACTGGTCCTTTAGTCATTCTTAATAATAAGTGTAAAAGCTGGCTAGTTTTTGGACATAACCGTCCTTTAGTGGGTATAGTAAAAAGGTAGTTGTGCTGGAGGCTGACAAAGAGCCACTTTTCAGTCTAATACTTTTGAGCTAAACTGTGCTGACGGGTCTAAACTCTACGCCTTTGGTAGTTCACTAATTTGAGGGATTGGGTCTGATCAGTTTATCCAACGGGAAGACACGAGAAGAGCTCGTCGTCGATATACAGAGTGATTCATTAAGGATAAGACACTCGTTTACTCAGTAACTATTGAAAATTTTTAATTTTTTATAAGGAAAATATTGTTTGATTCNACCGTAAAATAGTACATGAAAATTCAAATTTTTACAAACTTCAAAACGCTACAGAATATTTACTACTGAATATTAATAAGATACTTTTTTACTAAAATTTTTCTTAAATTCTACTCTACAAAATAGCTATCTTAGTTTTTTTTTTACTTTTTATTTAAAATTTTAAAATAATTAATATTTTTAATAAAATGTAAAAAAATTAATTATTGAGATATAGCTATAGACCTAACGTCTAACTATTATTTAAAAAAAAAATCAGCTAAAAATATTAACTGGATCAAAAGTTATTTAAGTTGTCAGTGAGTGGTGGGCCACTCTGTATATAAAACAATAATTAATTTGTGTAAAACTTTTGTGTATACGTTGGGGCACTACCAACGTACGACATAAAATTGGAGATCAACTCGATGTTCGTACCGACACGACCCCTCGAAGTTTTTCTTTTTTCGTGTTATCGAAATTTGTGTGTGCGTGTAATTTTGCGTCAATAAGTTGATCCGTCAATCACTACAATACAAGGATTACTTGAAAAATTTAGCCGGAAGACCAAAGGTTAGTGCAAAATATATTTATATATAATAATTTTATTTAGTTATTAAATTTAGTAATATAAAAATCTCTCTAGAGAAAAAAAAATTGTTGCGTGTATTTGTATACTTTCTCATGTCTATAATATTAGTAATATTGAGGACATAGAGGAGAAATTAAAAGAAATTTTAGGAGAGAATACTAGTTCAGAACTAGATACATTTGTTTTTGACATAATATTTTCTGACCAGGAACTCGTTAATATTTTAGACGACAGAATATCACAATTGAAATTTAATGAACTGACCACAAAAACAAATAACCACTTACACATTTTTAAAAGATCTAAGTTTTAATTTTTTTAATTACTATTTTATAATTATACAAAAAATATCATTCATACCCGAATACAAGCGATATTACAAAACCAGATAATTTTTATAATAATATTAAAAACGCTTCATCGGGTGATCAAAATAAATTAGAAAATTCGGATAAAGAACATTTTGATGAAGATATAGAGGATTTAAATAGAACCTGTAAAGAAGAACAAACACCGGGTAATCGTAATAACTTAACAGAGGGAAAAATTCTAGATTTAATTTCAATAACTAATTGCATAGAAACAATAAATTCAAATATTACAAGTATGGAGTCTAATAACCGATCTTGGTTGATGAAACCAGATTATTTTTAGGGTTTGAAAAATTTAAAACCCGACCCAGCACAAGGGAGTCGCGGCTCAGTGGTGACGTGCATAGTTGGATCAAGTATAATAATATCTGACAGTGATTAAAATCACTATAAAAAAAAACGCTTCGATGCAAATTTTTAGATAGTGTTTGATTTTAATATATTGATGAATTATTTCAAAAGCTACATAATCTGCTATTTCCTCATTAATATCCTGAATGAAAAAGGGATTATTAAAAAATATTATTTCTCATAAAAAAAATGTTTTGATCTATACACTTTTCAATAAGTTATAGCATTATAAAGTTAAAAATGTAAAATATGAAATCTTCACCATAAAAACAAAATAAAGTCAGAAATTTTTTTTTCCATAATAAAGTACATTAGCTTTAATTTAAGATATATATAAAAGTGTCAGACTTTTCGCAACGCTTTCAAAAGTTAAGTGTAAAAGTAAATTTTTTGTGAAAAAGTTGTCATTTTAAATCTCCCCCTGTAGGCAGATAAAGGGTCAGATTTATAAAAAAAATATACCAAATGATAGGTAAAGACATCAAGCATCTATAAAAAAAAAAATTACTGATTCATACATTTTTCAAAAAGTTATAGCATTATTAAGTTAAAAATATAAAAAAGAATTATTTTACAAAAATCGTAATTTTTTATGAACTTTGATGTCTGTTTTCACCATGTTGATAAAATATAGTCCGACATTTTTTCTTTCCATAATAGAGCATATTACATAAGCTTTAATTTAAGATATATATAAAAGTGTCAGACCTTCCGGAAGACTTTCAAAAGTTAAGTTGAAAAAGTTCTACTTTCTATATGCATTTTTCAGAGTTGAACACCACCATATATAAGGAAATAGTCTGATTAAAATAAAAGTAGGTCGAATTAATGATGTATATAAATACTACTCCTCATAAAAAAATTGTATTGATCCATACATTTTTTAAAAAGTTATAGCATTTAAAGTAATAACTGTAAAATATAAAATCGAGAAATTTCTCACAAAAATAGCATTTGGTAGCCATTTTCACCACGAAGAAAAGTTTAAAGGTCAAATTTTTTTTTCATAATAAAGTACATTACATTAAGATATAAATAAAAGTGTCAGACTTTACGGAACTTTTTCAAAAATTAAGTTGAAAAAGTTGTCATTTTAAATCCTCCATGTGGGCTGGTAAAGGGTTAAATATATGAAAAAAATATACCAAATGATAGGTAAAGACATCAAGCAACTATAAAAAAAATTTATATTGACATGTTCATTTTTAAAAAAGTTATGGCAGTTCTTAATAAAAATATTTTTAAACATTTTGAAAATTAGCGAATTTTAAATTTGTAATTATTTTGTAGGTTTCTTCCATTTACGGCGAACGAGGGAAATTTTATCAACTTTTGAGTCTAATGTCTTCGACTAGATACGATTTGTGATCTTTTGACGTATCGTTGAAAGAAATTCCGTTCGGTGAGAGCTGAGAAAAAGTGGTAACAGACAAAAAAAAAACATCATGTAAAACCAATACCTTCTCAGCTTCTCATCGAAGATAAATGTTTAAGTTAACGCAGTTTAGAATAAATAATAGAGGACTACTGGTATCAGTGAGTACACAGACATTATAAGAAGACAGATATCTCAACTAGATAAATTTTCAAAAGAAAACTTTAGGTTCAAGATTTACGGAGACAGTTAGAGAGAAGAGATAGGGACTGTAAAAGAGAAATAGAACAACTTAGCGATGAGATAAAAAATATTCAAGTTGTAGGTAATAATTCTAACAGATCAGTATATATGAAGATCGTAGAAGTAATAGCTACAGTAAGTATAACAGAGACAAGTGTTATGAGTGAAATAGAGAATACACAGATTATAGACCTAATTATAGAGACAAAAACCCATATCCTAGAAAGAATTACGGTAGTAGAGAACCAAGTAATGAAGAAATTTATAGAATAAAAAAATAAATTAGTGAAAAAAAAAGGAAGTCAGCGATATCCTATACCTCAATAAAAAATTAGAAGCCGAAAGAAAACGTAGAGTTTTGTCAATGGAAGTCAAATTCAATGGTTTTAAAAGGTTGCAATTTTAGATACAGGTTCTAATATTTCGTGTGTTGATTTAACATTAATTGATGATGTAAAACTTATTAAACCTAAAGATAGAGTAATTATTACAGGAGCTGATAATACGGAGTTAGAACATCTTGGAAGAATAGACTTAGAACTAAAAATAAATAATTATTCATATTTCATTAATGCATGTGTAATTGTAAATTATTATTGGGTAACGATTTTAATATTGACAATCAATTAATTATTAATTTTAAAACTAAAGAAATAGAATTTAGTAAACAAAATTATTCAGTTAAAATGGACGAAATTTAGTATAATTACAATAAAATATGTAATATTAATGAAAATAAAAATTCAGAGTGTATAGCTAGTCTTAATCTTAAGGAAAAGTGTACAAACAAACTAATTTCTTCTCATAATGTAACAATAGCACCTAAAACTAGAAGGCAAGTAAAGATTAATGTGACGCGAGAAAATAAAACAGATTTGGCTGTAATAAAACCATCGGAACGCTTAGGTAGGCAGAAAGGCTTGACACTAGAAACTAAAATATTACAAAAAGTGAATGAGGTCACTGTTTCCAATTTTTCAAATCTACATAGTACTATACATGAAGGTTTTTATTATGGGAGAATTACTCGCGAATGAAAGAGAAA